TAAACATGGATCAACAAAAACATGATTAATATTTAAATTTTATTATCAAAAAAAATATTAATTCGAATTCAAAATTTTTTTTTACCATAATTAAAAAAAATTATTAATTCGAATTTAAAAAAAAAAAATAAGATTACCATAATTCAAATTACATTACTAATTTTATCACGAATTCAAAATTAATTTATAGATGATAATTCGAAATCTAAAAAAAAAACAAATTACAACCATAATTCGAAATTTAAATTCAAATTCAAAATTCAAAAAAAAAAAAAAAAACATAGTCGCGTGCTATATGCGACTCCACCACGGCATAGTCGCATATAGCATGCGATTATACCGTGGTACAGTCGCATATAGCATGCGACTACACCATGGTAGAGTCGCGTGCTATGTGTGACTGCACCGTGGTATAGTCACACGCTATATGCGACTCCACCACGGTGTAATCGCATGCTATATGCGACTGTACCGTGGTGGAGTCGCATATAGCACGCGACTATGCTATTTTATGTGAAAATAAAAAAAAATTACCGACGAATTGGCCGGCGTTTTCCCCACGTTTCCCGACAAACGAACCCCTTTCCCACACCGCGATTCCATTGTCGTCAGCCCCTTCCTTTTTCCGGTTGATTTGGTATGATAAGTGATTGATTTGGTGTGATAGATAGTGAGAAAATTGGATGATTCCGACGACCTTAGGGTGGTGGTGGTGATGGTGTGTAGGGTGATGGTGATTCCGGCGACATTAGGGTGGTGGTGGTGATGGTGATGGTGTTTAGGGTGATGGTGGTGGAAGAAGTATAATTGGTGAGAAAAATTGAATAATGTCAAACATGGAATTTATAAGGGTAGATGAGTCATTTAATACCACGACCTAAGTAATTTCCTTGTGGCATTTAGTAACACCCTTTAAAAGGGAGAGAGAAAATGTAACCACACCACTTAATTATTCAAATCTTATTTTTTTAAGTAAGGGTATATCAGTCTTTTTAAGCTTTTTGTTTACTAAAATAGGAAAGAAAATGGAAAGTTGCACATAACCTTGATCATCCGTTTTTGGCAAAAGTCGCACATATACATTTAACGAAGGTATTATGTAGGGTACAAATTACTAAATTAGTATTGGGCTAGGCTATAATTTGGATATGCAATAATTCGGTTTGGATTTCGATTTTTGAATTTTCCAAATCTTAAAACCGAATGAAGCCAAATCATATTGATTCGGTTTTGGGATTCTCAGACCGCACTAAACCATATTAGAAAAAAAAATCGCACCAAATTTCTAATTCGGTTTAGTTTGGTTTTAATAAACCGCATTAGTTTCACCCCTAATCATTGGATGATCAATAATTCAATACTACCACTGGATGATCAAATACCATTAAACATTCAGTGGTACTGTATATGTATGTAGTGGTACTAAGTACGTGTAGAAATAGTATACTATAATAGCCAATGATATTATATAAGCTTTCACTGGTACATTTAAAAGTGGTCCCACTTATTCATCTCTCTCTTCATTTCACTCTCTTTCATGTGTTTTTCAACATCTTAGTATTTGTTATGCATTAAACCTACCTTAGTACTTCCTCTAAGGTTAAACTTATTCTTTTACCCTACCCTCCCAGGCTAATTTATTTGGTTTAACCACGAAAAGAAATCACTTAAATCTAACATCACTATTAGCCATTTGGTAAGGGTAATTACTCCTATTTTCTTTTTAAAGCATCATGATTTATTTGTCTTTTATTGGTACTCCGTATTACCTTATGTTCTTTCAAATGCGTCATATCTTACAAAAACACACTTGGTAATGAAAATAATTTAATCTCCACTAGAGACACTTTGAGGGTAGGGGTTTAATCTCTACTAGAGGCACTTTGAGGGCATGGATCCCTTACCCTCCCCTTCTCAAAGTGTCTAATCTGTAAATATTATATTACAAAACCGGGTTGAGGTTCAGTGAGGTCCTTCTTGTTGCCTTAAAACAAATGATAATGATTTAATTTGAATCACAACCCAAAAACACTATTCAAATTTTGTACTATACAAGTATACATACAGTAAGGCCCCGTTCTTTAGAGCTGTTTTGCTCTGCTCTGCTCTGCTGGAATCTGCTCTGCTCTGCCCTGCTCTGCTCTACTTAAAATTAATACTTAATATTGAATTATTATAATAATAATTAATATTTAATAATAATAATAAATAATTAATATTTAATATTTAATAATAATAATTAATATTTAATAATAATAATAAATAATTAATATTTAATATAATAATAATAATTAATAATTAGTACTTATTAATAATAATAAAAATAATTAATTATTCATATTTAATAATAATAATAATAATTAATTATTAATAATTAATAATAATAACATCAATAATAATAATTAATATTTAATAATAATAATAATAATAATAATAATAATAATAGTAATAATAATAGTAATTATACGTGGCTCTGCTCTGCTCTGCTGAAATCTACTCTGCTGTGTCCAGAAGCTCAAAAGAACAGGGCCTAATTGGGTTGATAAAATACGTGGTAAGGCTGGTAAGGTACTTCGTTGTATAGATTATTCGGAATACGTCAATTTAAAAATTCATTTAGAAATTTGATGCCAAATTGAAGAAGCATGTCCAATTAATTTTATCATGATCATCTTGTCGTCTTTTCCTAGGTAATTATTCTTTATCCTTTCTCTGTTTACTATGATATTTTTTACTGTGAATTTTGCTTTAATTCTTGTTTCCACAATTTTTTTTTTTTTTTGATTAATATTTGGATTAAAATACCACCAAATCATGCATAAAATATCATTATCAGGGTTTTTTGTATTGGAAAATTAGAGCTTGTGATAAGGTTTAAGCTTATTTTAAGGTTGGTCTAAAACTTATTCAAATTAAATTTAAGATTTTCATTTTTGGTTGCGTCGTTAAGCTCCTTTTTTTAATTCCTAAACACAATTCAACCATTCAATTAAGCAATTATCTATAAATAAAGGTAAATTTTGGCTAAGAGGTGAAGTCGAGAGAAATAGAGACAATGTTTGTTGAATTTGTCATGTGTTGGAGTATTTATAAAAATCTAGGTTTCAATGTACAAGTAATAATTTATGGGTGCTCTAATTGAGCTTATATAATACATGAATACAAATATACAATACAATACCCCGACTCATGCTCGAATTTTTTTTGTTTGTTTTTGGTCGATTTGTGAGCAAATACCTTATCAGATTACTTTTTAACGATTTATACCTTAGTTTGACAAAAGTATTAAAAACAGCACCTTAATTTTATCTTCCGACAAAAAAAAGTCAATTTTCCAATCACGGGATCCATATTTTTATCTTGCTTGTTGTTTAAAATTTATACTGATACACAAAATCTCACAAGTGTTCAATATTCTTATATGGGTCTGAGATAGGTATTTATCTTCTGATCTGTGATATAATGATATAGATATACTACAGCCTAGCATTTATTGATACTTTGGCTTGATTTTCTTTTGCTTACTGCAAAATATGGTGTGTTTACCTGGACTCTGGATGCTTATGCCCTGCCAGGAATAGCAAACATCAATTATTTTCGGGGGGTTTTACCGAGGAAACTCCCTCGATGTCTAAGTTAGTTATCAACTGTGAAAGTGTATATACTACCTCCATTAATTATTATGTGCAACAAATGAATATTTTATGTCTCACAACTAATACCCCTTTGTTGCACATAATAATTAACGAAGGTAGTATGTAATATATAATATTAGTATGTATTTAGAGACTAGAGAAAAAGTATTTTATAGAGAACTGAAAGCAAATTACATTTGAGGATTAGTGGGGTTATTTAATTTATAGGTGTACTATTTTGCATGTTTGGAGTTGTAGGGTGCTTACATATGTATGAAGCGAGATGAGTGTACCTAGCAGTGTTGGTGTGGATTTTGGATCTGTTAGAATTCATTAAGCCCGCTGCTCTTGTTAGATTCTTTTCGGATGTAGCCAATTAAGCTTTACGGTCTATGTAGTACCCCGTACATGGTGTAGTGCTAAGATAGGAGAATTTGACGTTTATAGCATCTAATATTAAAAATTTGACCAACCAATAACTTATGTCACAGTAACTTGCTTTAGTGTTGTACATTGCACCCCTTGTGAAATTTGAACAAGGAAGAAAAAGAAGAGTGTCATACTACAGTTTGCTGAAGTTTTTGCTGCCTGTTTACTTGGGCCATGTGTGTGTTTTTATTCCTTCTGTAAGTCGTCATAACTAAAATGCATGTTTGTTTAATACCTTATGATGTCTTGTTTACTTGGGTAGTCTTTCTCTTTCTTATCCATTGAATTTTTACTTTTTGTATAGAATGCCTATAGTAAATATAACTATAGATGCATTTTATAATCACCCTTTCTTTATGGGAGAAGATTTTTCTTGGGCAATATCTATCTTTATCAAAACAATTTTAGACATGTTGCCTGATCGACTATATCTTTCTTGGTAACGTTAAGATACTGCCTTGTAAAATTAACAGGGGTCATAAATGCAAGTACCTAATCTTGTAGTCTTGTTTATTTATGGATTACACTATTACAGCACAATACACCTATCTTAAATGTACTAAAATACTAGAGTAGTACACAATGGTTGACTGGCCAAATAAAATATACATGTGCTTTGAATCCCACTTGACAGATCATATCATGTTAATCAATTTTCATTTATAGCTCATCCTTTTCCTCAACTACTTGATGATTGAGCAGAACTTTTGAACATTCTACTGAGGATTAATTTTCATTTTCGGTGTTTAACCTTGCACTCATTTTAACTAGTAGAGCTTTATTGAAGGTTTTGCAGTACAAAAAAGGGTCATACACTGAAGTTTGGGTTACAAGTTCTTTTCACCTCTTTCAATAATTATACGCTTATAATAGTGTGTCAAAGTTTGTCATTAGTTTTAATTGGACTTAGAAATTTTGATTGTTGAATATGTAAGTAAATTTGACCAAATCATTGACTTGTGTTTGGCTTTATCTTCCTTTGTCTTGGAGAAGATGTCCACATTTCACAACATGCAAAATTATGAAATTCTATGTGAAAATATCTGATAAAAGTGGCCAGCAGTGGGTCTAACATGGTTGAAAAATCTCAATTATTTGCAATTGTTATGCTGACTTTGGTAAGTGATTGTGATGTTTTATTTGCCAAAATAGATAGAAGTGTTAGGCCTTCTATTATTGGAGAGCGTTGATATAGTCTTTTTGAGACTGCTTTTTAGCTTCAATGTGTTTGTCTACAAGTTTTCGTGAGTTTTACGTGCTATTTGAATTAAGTTGTGTGCTATTTGAGTAAAGTTTTTCCCCTTTTTCTTTTGAATGAATCAATTTCATTGTGTTCTGCAATAAAAAATGTGCAAGATGACAGCCGCCTCATATGGCTTTTTTCTTCTTTTCTGGCTACTCCTGAATTTCATCTTAACTGCCTCTACTGCTCAGGATACTATTACTGTAAACCAGTCTCTCCAAGATGGTAAGGTCCTTGTTTCTGCAAATGGGAACTTCGAGTTAGGATTCTTCAGTCCTGGTAGTGGCAGTAGCTCAAGAAGATATGTCGGAATCTGGTTTAAGAAAATCCCAGTTCAGACTGTTGTTTGGGTTGCCAATCGAAACTTTCCGCTTCTTGATTCTTCTGGTGTTCTTCAGTTCAACAATAAATCTGTTTTGGTACTTGCAAATGGCGCGGGAGGATTTGTTTGGTCTACTAATTCATCGAGATCAGGATTGAATCCAGTTGCACAGCTTTTGGATTCAGGAAATCTTGTTGTCAGAGACCAGAATGATGGTAACCTTGACAATTTCTTGTGGCAGAGTTTTGATTATCCCTGCGATTCCCAGTTACCGGGAATGAAGTTGGGAAGAGACCTTGTTACTGGGTTTGACAGGTTCCTTACTTCCTGGAAAAGCAGTGATGATCCTTCCCCAGGTAGCTATACATATCGGATTAATCCTCAAGGATACCCACAACCGTTCCTTATGAAAGACGGCGTTGTGCAGTTTCGTGATGGTCCATGGAATGGTGTTTGGTTTTCCGGTACTGCCAGGTTGCCAACTGATTCTACTCAGGTATATAAATTTGTTTTCAATAACAGGGAGGTGTCGTATGTCTATGAGCTCATCAACATCTCAATCATCACTAACAGAATTGTAAACCCTTATGGAAATATTCAACGTCAAGAATGGAATAATCATACACAAGGGTGGGCAACATTTTACTCAAAACCAATTGATAATTGTGATACTTATGGGGTGTGTGGTGCATTTAGTAGTTGTAACCTTGTAAAATCTCCTCAATGTCAATGCATGAAAGGATTTGTGCCCAAGTCCTCCACAAATTGGAATGCAGGGAGTTGGAGTGATGGGTGTGTTCGTAGTGCTTCGTTGAATTGCAGTGTCAGTGACGGATTCATTAAGTATGCCAATGTTAAGCTGCCTGATACAAGATATTCCTGGTATAACATGACAATGACTCTTGATGAGTGCAGGGGCAAATGCTTGCAAAACTGCTCTTGCGTGGCTTATGCTAATATAGATGTAACCAATGGAGGAATTGGCTGCTTGTTGTGGATTGATACCGTGATTGACGTGAAAGTTATACCTGGTTCAGGACAAGATCTTTATGTAAAGGTGCCATCTTCAGAGTTGGGTAAGAACCTTTTGTGGGATTTTTTTTTTATTTTTTTTATTTTTTTTTTATTAGCATACTATCAACATTTAACTGCTACTTGACTATCTCTAAGCCGACAAAATCTGTTGAATTCCCAAATTTACTAATCTTCACAAGATTAATATGGCTTTCATGGATACAATTTTCTTTTTTTTTTTTTTTTTTTTGTGTGTCTGGCTGAACTTGAGCTATTTAAGAATTAACTCAAACCTTTTATCATTTTATGTATGTATAGGAGGGAATAGGAAAAAACGGGTATGGATTGCTGTGATTTCCAGTATTTTTGCTTTTATGTCTCTCTGTGGAGTTGCAATTTTTATTGTGTGGAGAAGGAGGCGGAAGAGAGCAGGTATGCTGATTTCTGTTTCGTGTTTCAACTGCTATTATTCCTTTCTAAACTATGGTTTATCATTATTTGGGGTTTAGAAGATAACTCTATCTTCTGGCATGTAGTTCATTGCACCCCAAAGTTTGGAGATACTCTGTCTCTATATTATGAACGTGTTTTTTGTTTATTGGTATGCTATGATATTGCAGAAAAATGCACTTCCAGCAGAAGATTCACCATAAATAACAACAGTGAACGAGAATCTGAGCTGCCAATATATGCTTTTGATGTGATTGCCAAAGCTACAGACCATTTTTCCTTTTCTAACAAACTTGGAGAGGGTGGCTTTGGACCTGTATACAAGGTTAAATTTATCTCTAATTATTTATTTTCTTTCAAGGCTTCCATTAACTTGCATTGGTGCTGTTGTTACCGTCTTTCAGAACCACACTAAAGATGCATTGGGTAAATTTTTTAAACAATGATGCAGATAATGGAGTACAGAGGAAAATTCATGTGATTCTTGCTCATAGTACTTTTTTCTTTTCTTGGAATTGAAGATGAACAGTTTAAAATCTGAATATGTTGATTGGAGTTTGACTTAATACTTGCAACGAGCAGTTATTTACTTGCATGTCCAGCAAGAGTAGAGGATTGGCCATCCTGTTCTTGCTTCTGGGTTTTGTCCATAAGAAAACTGATTCCGAAAGTATTTTATGGCTAGTAATTCACAGTTCCATTGTTTGAGAGAATGCTCAAGTCTAGAGATGAAGTCAATATACTATGACAATCTGAAAGCTGTAGTAGGGATTTCTGTGTCTCAAAGGCATTATTGTCACTTTATTAGACAACAGAAACAATCATGTTAACTCTAAGAGTTTTTTCTTTTAATTTATTTTATTATTATTATTATAAAAATTTGTCTCTTAATAATTTTTAGGGAGTGCTGAGCAATGGACAAGAAATAGCTGTGAAAAGGCTCTCTAAAGATTCAAGACAAGGACTGGATGAATTCAAAAATGAGGTTATATTCATTGCAAAGCTTCAGCATCGAAATCTTGTGAAACTTATGGGATGTTGCATTGAAGCAGATGAGCGGTTGCTTATCTATGAATATATGCCCAAGAAAAGTTTGGATTGCTATATCTATGGTATGGCTTACTTTAGATTTCATGTTTACATTTCTGTTTCCTGTTTTGTAACTAGTGCACACATTAATTATTGACTATATTTTTTTGTTTAATTTGTTTTGAGGATAATGAAATAAATTTTACGACATAGTGATGTAAACTACTTGTATAAAATAAAATGACTTGTCTAGAGTGGAGTTCTTCAGTGGAAAATTTAATCCAAGTTATATTCTTTGGCTAGTTAGACACTTACACATCCTTAGCAACAGTAGCTTACAGTCATACTTTATGGGCAGACCCAACAAGCATTGACTTACTAGATTGGCCAAAGCGCTTAGAGATCATTATGGGGATTGCTCGTGGACTTCTATATCTTCATCAAGATTCTAGACTGAGAATTGTTCATCGAGACCTCAAAGCGAGCAATATTTTACTAGATTCTCAGATGAATCCCAAAATTTCTGATTTTGGTCTGGCTAGATCTTTCATTGGAAACGAAGATGAGGCACAAACAAAGCGAGTAGTTGGAACATAGTAATATTCTAATCTCACTTGTTCTTTTGCCTCTCTCTTGACAGTTTCCTGATATTTTGCTAATTTTTTTGCAGTGGCTACATGCCTCCTGAATACACTGTCGACGGATTATTTTCAGTGAAATCTGATGTCTTCAGCTTTGGAGTATTAATTCTCGAGATAGTGAGTGGCAAGAAAAATAGAGGGTTTAATCATCCAGACCACCATCATAATCTTCTTGGACATGTAAGACTAGTCTTTCTTTCACCAAGCTAAGCCGTAGCATGATGTCATTGATATATAGACTAATAGGGGGTTGTACTTGAAATTAGTATCATTTATTAAAGGGGTCTGTTAATTACCTGACTAGTGTGTGTAAATTGTATAGGCATGGATGCTTTTCAAAGAAGATACAGCTTTGGATGTAGTTGATCCGTTGATTAGGAACTCAAGTTATGCACCCCAATTGCAAAGAATGATTCACATTGGCTTGCTATGTGCTCAGCAACATCCAGATGATAGGCCAAGCATGTCAGTCGTTACTGTCATGTTAAGCGGTGACTCTAGATTACCTGATCCTAAAGAACCTGGCTTCTTTGTGGCAAGGAATTTGCCACTGGAATCAGTTTCTGGCAAAACTCAATCAAGCTCCAATTATGAATCTGTATCATTGCTAGTTGGGCGGTAGGGTGGTGTAATTCAATATAGAATCAAACTTAGAATTCATTTTTAATCTTCAACCATGGATATTAAGAAACTACTGAATTACTGAGATTCCAAAAGCTGAAGTAAGTTCTCCCTTTCTTGAAAAAAAATTAGGAAAAAAAAAAAGAAAAAGAAAAAAAAAGAAATTAGTAAGCTCTCCGTATCATTCATTCAGGTTTCAGAAACATTTTTTCCATGGTTACAGGAATGCTCCTTACAACAAGTCATCCTAGGTGGGAACCTTATTGGAGACATCAGGTATTGATGCATTGTTATGTCATTGATCTCTTACTCACTTGAACACCATGCATTTTAATTTTTTTGTTCTATTCTGGATTTGCTCTGAAATCATTTTTATGGAGAACGATGGATTTTTATAAAATTCCTTTTGCATATCTTGCAGAGAGGATGAGCTGGAGAAGAATGTGCTTGCAAGTAGCTGTTTCAAGGAGAGTAAATAGGTCTTTCTGAGTTTCATTGCATAGGAACCAGGAAAGTTCTTACCCATTGGAAATTTAAGCCAATTTGTTTTTGCACACCTAGTTTTGGTTCACATCACTTTCACTGCTTCACTGTACAAAAATTAGTTTAGGCTCCACTAGATGTAAAAGTGATGTGATCAATGATGATGTTCAATAGTAAATAACAAGTTTATTTGATTTGATGGCCTTAATTTCTCTCCCATTTATCTATATCTGAATGAAGTTTTAATGTTTTTATTACCATTTTTTTTTCATTTAGACCAAATTCTAATCCAAGCTGTTTTTTGCATAATTAAAAAATTAATAGTCCTGTAACTTTATGCTAGTTTTATCAGCTTGAAATTTTACTTTTAGTGAAGTACGTAAGCATTATATGCTCTGATGAACCATAATGTTTTCCCAACACATTTCAATCGTCTTATTTTATTCAGTCATAGAAATAAGTTAAAGTCTATACATTTTGTTACCATTTCCTATTTTAATTTCAGTCTCATATATTTCTTACAAGTGTAAGTGTACTTCTTTGCTATTTTTATGATGATGCTGACAATCTTGACATAGTATACACATGAAAACTCTATGTTGAATGGGTTTATGAAGACTTATTCAAAAGAAGCGGCTCTGAAAATCTAGTCAATGTTGACGCTCTGATGAATATGATATATAATGTTGGGTCAAACTGTTTTACTCATACCTCTTGCTGCCATGTACATGTATGGGAAATGTTTGGATAACCCTTTTAATTTGCAATCCTCATAGCCATTGGAAAGTTCCTCGCAAATGCAGTACATAATTTAGAGAAGGAAAAAAAAAAACACTTTATTCTGTTGCATTTTTGAATATTTATATTCTCTTTCTCTCTCTTAAATCTCTCATGACGGTTGACAAGTCATTTTCCTAAAATCTCGTCCTTTCTTTGGTGGGGTGGGGGGGGGGGACTACAAGTGTGAACATCTAAGGGTTTGTTTGTTGGAAATTCTTGATTATGTCAAATTATCATAATAGAATAATCTTCTTCAGAGGATTACATTATTAGCTATAGTTCATTTGCACACTAGGATAATTGTTTATAATAATATGCATGTCTAATGTTGAATGAACTGATTTTGACACGAAGTTGCTGACTTTTTGTTATACTTTGCACACTGGGATTATTGATTTATAATAATTATGCTTGTCTGATGTTGAATGAACTGATTCTGAGCACCCAGTTAAGTTTTATCTAGGGTAAGCTCTTACCTATCGCTGGAATATACGTTTTAGATTTTCGATTGTACTGGCTTTCTTTCTTACTTTTCTATAAGTGGCTTGTGCTAGCCTTCTCTGCTTGCATCAACCATCATGAAAGCAACTGCATATATTCTTTTATCGTTACTTGTATTTGTAGTTACTAACTCTGTAGCTCGAGACACGTTAACCACAACTCAATCCATTCGGGATGGGGAGACCTTGGTGTCTTCTGGTGGAACCTTTGAGCTGGGATTTTTCACCCCAGGCAGTACTGAGAGAAAATATATTGGAATCTGGTTTAAAAATGTTCCAGATCAAACTGTTGTTTGGGTTGCAAATCGAGAAAGTCCACTTCTTAATTCTTCTGGTGTTTTCCGGTTCACCAACAATTCTCTTCTTGTACTTATGAACAATACTGGTAGTGTAATATGGTCTACCAATTCCTCAAGATCAGTGCTGAATCCAATTGCACAACTTCTTGACTCAGGAAACTTTGTTGTCAGAGATCAGACTGACAACAATCCAGATAACTTCTTGTGGCAAAGTTTTGATTATCCTTGTGATTCCCAGCTACCTGGAATGAAGATAGGAAGGGACCTTGTTACTGGTTTAGATAGGTATTTAACATCCTGGAAAAGTAGTGATGATCCTTCCCCAGGGAGCTATACCTACCGGTTCGATCCCCAAGGATATCCGCAACCATTCCTGTACATAGATTCTGCTAAGCAGTTCCGAGATGGTCCATGGAACGGCTACTGGTTTTCTGGGAACAACTTGTTAGACTCAAATCCTTCAGAATTATACCAGTTTGTTTTTAATGACAAGGAATTTTACTATGTCTATAAGCTTATCAATTTTTCAGCTGTCACCAATAGACTTTTAAACCCGTATGGGACTCTGCAGCGAGTTGTGTGGAACAATCGTACACAAGGATGGGCCACATATTTATGAAACCTATAGATGGTTGTGACACATATGCAGTTTGTGGCTCGTTTGGTATTTGTAGTCTAATGGATTCTCCTCAATGTCAGTGTGTAAAAGGATATGTGCCTAAATCTCCAAAAGATTGGGATGGGAGGATTTGGTCAGACGGGTGTGTTCTGAATACCCCTTTAAATTGTAGCATCAACAATGGTTTCGTAAAATACTCCAATGTCAAATTGCCTGACACGAGATCCTCTTGGTACAATACAACCATAACTCTTGAGGAATGCAAGAATAAGTGCTTGAGAAATTGCTCTTGTGTTGCCTATGCAAATTTGGATGTCACTGAAGGAGGAAGGGGCTGCTTGCTTTGGTTTGATGATTTGATTGATGTGCGAGTTCTCTCGGGTGTAGGGCAAGATCTTTATGTAAGGGTGGCATCGTCTGGGTCAGGTGAGAACCTAATTACTGGTTCTTTTTAAATTTTCAGTTGGAGAATGTGCTTATACTTGATTTAATTCTTCCTGTTGAAAGAAACCAAAGGATTATATCTGTAATGGTGTGTATTATGACATTATCTGGTTATCAAAGGAACAAAATATCTTCTTTGCAACATATTGTTATGGACTTATTCTCCGAGGTACTTCTGTCTGGCTGCATTTTGTATTCCCTGAGAAAATGTTTGCTATTTGCATGATAGTAGCATTCCTTATTTATTTATTTATTTTTTTTTTCCTTCTTTTGGGATTCAGCAATTATCCTGATAAAATTACTGTTACATAAATGAGTGTGAAGATAGGGAAGGAGTATCATTTGTTTTTTATTCTTTTCACTTATGAGATGGATCTAGATGCTAATACTATATAATCTATATATTAGTAACTGATAAGAAAATTGTGCTAATCCAGTTGGTGATATCTTACTGATATTGCTTTGAAAGATGTCTTACAATTTTCTGTTTTTCTGTTTAAATTCATTTGTTTTCCTAGTCAATTTGGAACTGAAGAACTTAGTTTGGTGTATCTCTGTATTGTAGGTGGTGATAAGAAATTATGGATCTGGATTGCAGTAGGCTCCAGTTTGGTATTGATTCTGATCTTATGTTGTGCTGTGATCTTTATTCGTTGGAGGAAACGGAGGCTCAACAGTGACGGTAACTGATAGGAGTTTGTACTCTTTTCTTGTTCTGTTTTTAGTCCGAAGTTCCATACTATCATAGCAATTATAGAGCTCAATATTCTGTGGTCCTGTAACCATTATTATCATAATTTAGGATATTCTCCATCTCATGACACTATAGCAGAAATTATAGAAATTGATACGGTGTATATATGAGCCATTTGAGGAACCCCTTTAGCCCTGGATCAATCTTCTATATCTTTATTTATTAAACGTGGTATTTCTTTGTTCACAGTTAAGGATCTAGCAAGTAAAAAAGAAAATGGCATTGAAAAGCATGAGGAAGAAAGTGAGCTGCCTATGTTTCCCTTCGACGTAATAATTTAAGCTACCGATTACTTTTCACATACCAAGAAGCTTGGAGAGGGAGGCTTTGGATGTGTCTATAAGGTAGTAGTTTTAATTTTTTATTAATTTACTAGCATAACTTATTGTTGAAGAAGATATGAATTGTCAGAAATATTGGCATTGCACAAATCATGCCAATTGTCAGAAATATTAGCATTGCACAAATTATCATTCTGAAGCACATCAGACCCCCTCATGTCAACACTCCTCTCTCCTAGTTCAAGTAGAGATTATGAGGAGGTCAGGGTGGGGGGTAAAAAAAAAATTATGTTTATTGGCTCTTTGCATATGTTTAACATGGATTGACTTTGATATTTGATCCTTCAATGTAGGAGTTATATAACAATTATTACTGTATCTTTTAGTTTCTTGGGAAAGAATTCTGCTGAACTTTCAGAGGTTTACCCATAAATATAAATTACAGAAACAAGATTAACATTCTTTAAGCTCTATTTTGCTCTATTTTGTGTGTGTTAGAAATTATAAAATGATATTATGTCATTAGTTATAATATTAGATCATATCGGAGACTTCTACTACTCTCGACAACTTGTAAAGGATCTGATGTATGTAAGCCAATGAAGCTCTTGTGAGTCACTTATTCAAGGTTTTTTTATATCATCCAAACTCTGAAGTATATTTTTTGTTGCATGGTTATTCTCATTGTACGTATTGGACAAATTAATTTTATTTTTTTTACTTTGTATATCTTTACCCCTTTCTATATTTTGATTTCCTGCTGTATAAATTCAGGGAGTGCTGAATGATGGGCAAGAGATAGCTGTGAAAAGGCTTTCGAAGGACTCAAACCAAGGGCTGGATGAGTTTAAGAATGAGGCTCTATTTATTGCCAAGCTTCAGCATCGCAACCTTGTGAGACTTATAGGATGTTGTGTTAAAGCAGAAGAACGGATATTGATATATGAATACATGGCTAATAATAGCTTGGACCGGTTCTTATTTGGTAAACCACTTCTTAGCCTTGACATCTATGATCTAAATTGTACTAACATGTTCCTTTAGTAAGTAAGTCAATCAGTAAGTAAGTTGGATTGTGGACTCACGGATCAAGCAACCATCAATAAGTACGGCCTCTCCCCTCCCCAATGTTTGAAATTAGGAACCAATAGGCTGGAGCTTTGCTCCTTAAATACTCACTTAATTGTATAATTCGATATATTTGATATATACATCCATAACAAAAGAATTATTGTTTCTGAATTTTACCAGATCAAACAAGCAGTGGCTTATTGGATTGGCCAAAGCGTTTTGAGATAGTCAAGGGGATTGCTCGTGGCCTACTATATCTTCATCAAGATTCAAGATTGAGAGTAGTTCACAGAGATCTTAAGGCAAGCAATGTCTTACTTGATAATGAGATGAACCCCAAAATTTCTGACTTTGGCATGGCAAGAAGTTTTATTGGAAGCGAAGATGAGGCACGGACAAAAAGGGTGGTTGGAACATAGTAATATCCTCTCCTCATTTTGTACTTACCCCCTCTCATTTCAGGTCCATATATATGCTAACGTTTATTGTTTTGTTACAGCGGCTACATGCCTCCTGAATATACAATTGATGGCCTATTTTCAGTGAAATCTGATGTCTTCAGCTTTGGAGTAATAGTGCTTGAGATTGTATGTGGCAAGAAGAACAGAGGATTCATCCATTCAGATCACCATCACAGCTTGCTTGGACATGTAAGATTAATCTTCCTTTCTTAAAATGCCGATCAAGGTCATGCAATTATTGCTTAGGGTTTAGGCTATCCCCTGGTTTTGGTGCTAATGTGGTATGCTGAATTAAACCATCATGTCATCAGAAAAATTCTCCTGTCTCCTATCTCTGTTGCTCTTGGTGAAGTTGTGATTTTAGCCCTCTTCTTATTGAAGATAAGAAACCCTCATGCCATCTTTAGGATATTACATGGGAAATGAGTTTAAACAACAATTACTTGACCATTGCGTTAGTGATTAGGTGTGATGACCAAGATGCATTGGCATGGTTTTAGCCCAAGTTTCGCCAAAAATATTTAATCATAATAAGCAGTACCATGAAGCTTTATAATTTTGTAAATGCAAATCGCCCCAAAAATGGAGGCAGTATTTACTCCCTCAGTTTCACTATAGTGGTTACATTTGAGATTTTCACACACAATGAGATATGTTTGGAAAATATGAGAGAATACAGGAAGGTGGAAGTGGAATGTTGTTAGGAAAAAAAAAAAAAAAAAAAAAGTTAAGTGGAGTGTTGTGAGAATATGAAAGGAATAAAATAGTAGGTTGAGTGAAATGTTATAAGTAAAAGGAAGAATAATAAATAATAGGCTGAGTGGAATGTACGTTGTAAGTTTAATTGGGAAAAGATAGTGAAAATGAACTGACTGAGGTGGGTCATTTACCCTAAAATGGATAATGCAAAAGTGTAAATATTCACTTGAAAGTTGAAACACATAATTATGGAGAGTGTGATCATTATCATGAAACGGAGGGAATTTAAGGTTGCATATTATTGTTATCTCCCTAGTTTGGTACGGCTGAGTAATCTTACTGATATATGTTGTCTAGGCTTGGATGCATTTCTTAGAAGGCACTACTTTGGATATTATGGAACCATCAATATGGAACATGAGCTATTCATTGGAAATGCAAATGGTGATTCAGATAGGTTTGCTGTGCGTTCAGCAGCATCCAGAAGACAGACCTAGCATGTCACAAGTTTCTGTCATGTTAAGTGGTGATACCAAATTGCCTGTATCTAAAGAGCCTGGCTTCTTCATTCAAAGGTATTTGCCCAAAGAACTAAACTCAAGAGGCACACAATCTCATTCCAATGATAAAATTACTATTAGTTTACTGTCTGCTAGATGAAGTGCACATATTGATCATTCCTGTATCCTTATGGCTTCTACAGAAACTGTAAAATTACTGCTGTAAATTGCTTTCTGAAATCAAACTTCTATATTTTGTAATCCGTAAATAGATGTATTATGACTAGTAGCATTTACAATGTTGATTTTTAATATCTTGAATATACCTAGTTTGAGTTGGTCATACCAATTTTGAACTTAGCAAAGGAAACAGTCGTCTCATTGTTATTACATGGAATATGGATGCATTGCGTAAAGATTGAACATATTCTACATACAATTTTCATAACAGCAGAAAAATATGCTGCAAAAATCTAAACATTCTAGAATCAATTGACCAATCAAAGGTAGAGAAGAGAATTGAAGAAAAACTTACAGAGTTACAGTAACAAAAGGTTGAAATATAATTATATGGGACTTTATCTTAATAACTAAAAAGTCTAAATCATAGAGCAAGGTTAAATTCTATGAAGCAGCTGTTGACTATGGTATCAATCTGTCTAGTGGGATGACCCTTAAAGCAGTTATGTTTGAGAAAAAAAAAAAGAAAAAAAAAAAAAGCAAATTTTAGCCACAGAAAATTTGGATGACTTTTCAAGTTTTCAATTAATGACATTGTAAAATTTTGAATTATATATGAGCTTTACAATTGATTTGTTCTCTCAGAAGCAGTGCAATCTTCCTTTCAGAAGGTCTGAACTAAATAATTGGATCTCTTGTTTGGTTGTGTTAGCTTTACTTGCACATTGTTCATTCAATTTTCTTCTGAAAGCAAGATGACAACTTTGTATGGTATAGCTCTTTTATGGTCATTTTTGTCTCTGATCATTACTTGCATAGCTTTAGATACAATCACTCTAGGTCAATCTATTCGAGATAATTCTTCGGAGACTTTAGTGTCTGCTGGTGGAGATTTTGAGCTGGGATTCTTCCCAGGCACTAATGAGAAGAGATATGTCGGGATTTGGTTCAAGAAAATCCCAAGTCCAACGGTTGTTTGGGTTGCCAATCGAGAAACCCCCATTCTTGATTTTGCTGGTGTGCTTCAGGTTACCAACAACTCTGTTCTTAAACTTTTCAATGGTTCTGGAGGAGTCCTGTGGTCTACCAATACAACAAGATTAGTAAAGAATCCAATTGCGAAGATTTTGGATAATGGAAACCTTGTTATAAGAGATCAAGATGATGACAACCCTGATAATATCTTATGGCGTAGTTTTGACTATCCTATTGATACCATGCTGCCAGAAATGAAGTTGGGAAGGGATCTTGTTACTGGGTTTGATCGGTTTCTGACATCATGGACAAGTAGTGAGGATCCTTCTCCGGGTAGCTATACATATAAAATTGATCCTCATGGATATCCACAGCCTTTTGTTTTTAGAAATGGTTCTGTTGAGCTGTTCCAGGATGGCCCTTGGAATGGTGTTTGGTTCTCTGGAACCTCTATGTTACCAGACGATACTTTGGCCAGCTTTGTTTTTAGTAACAAGGAGATGTATTATACCTATACAATGTCTGACATCCCAACTAGGAGGACTTTGAATATTGATGGAAGTATTCAACGTCTTAATTGGAATAATAATACAGGTGATTGGGAACCACTTTATAATAAGCCAAATGATAGATGTGACACTTATGCATCCTGTGGCTTATTTGGTATTTGTAACCTTGCAAATTCTATTCAATGTCAGTGTCTGAAAGGGTTTGTGCCAAAGTCACCCAAAGATTGGAACAATGGGGTTTGGTCAGGTGGGTGCGTTCATAACGGCCTATTAAACTGCAGCATTAACAATGGGTTCACGAAATATTCCAATGTCAAATTGCCTGACACAAGATATTCCTGGTATTATACGACCATGAACCTAGATGAATGGAAGCACAGATGCTTCCAGAATTGCTCCTGTACAGCTTGTGCAAATTTAAATTTCATAGGTCGAGGAAGTGGTTGCTTGCTTTGGTTTGATACTTTAATGGATTTGAGAGCTATAAATGGCCCTGGACAAGACCTTTACGTAAGGGTGTCCTCCAACTCTAGTAAGGATTTATTGCTGATGCTGTTCCTTAAAACTTTTTTTTTTTTTATCTTCAGTTTTGATTTTCTATGTTAAAAAAATTAACATTCTTATAAATTTTTTGTTTCTGGTCCGAACTTTTTTTTCCTGTTTTGAACTGTCATTTCTGTAGTTGGTGGAAAAAGACGAATCTGGATAGCAGTAGGTTCCAGTTTATCAGCTGTCTTGCTTATATGTGGCGCTATTATCTTTTTTGGAAGGCAAAAAAGGAACTAGGGGAGGAAAAGAAGTCAGTAAAAAACTTATGCTGTTTTCTTTTTATCTGAATCTCAACTGATGTTTGAAAGTTCAACATCCTGTGGTTTTAACTGAAAATTTATTTTGTAGTAGCAGTATAACTTTCTAAGTCTGAAACATGCTGGTTCCACTGTAGGAAAAAAATTGTGCTTTGGTCAATCTCATAATTATTCTACCAATTTTTTTATTTTTTTTATTTCTTATCTGTGGTCACAGGAAACAAGGGAAAGTGAACAAGAAAACCGTAGCAACAAAAAGGAGTCGGAGTTGCCAATATTTGCCTTCGGTGTGGTAGAGAAAGCTACCAATTACTTTTCACCCAGCAACAAGCTTGGAGAAGGAGGCTTTGGGTCTGTCTACAAGGTATCAGATTCAGTCATTTGCTTTACTACTTGATTGTTTACAGAGGCACTGGCCAATGTAAGTAAATACAAGTATTACTGTCAGAGACTCCAATGCTGTTAGGAATCGAGTTGGGCAACTGATATCTGTTATATTGTTTGGTGAACATCCTTATTGAAAGGACGATATTTTTTATGATATTTCATATATTTTTATTAAATAAATGTGAATTAGACAGGTTTTACTTCTAAATTGGTGTACAGTTCTGATTGCCACGTCTAATAATTCCCAGGGATTGCTGAACAATGGGGAAGAGATAGCAGTGAAAAGGCTTTCAAAAGATTCAAGACAAGGAATAAATGAATTTAAGAATGAGGCTTTATTTATTGCTAGTCTTCAGCATCGCAATCTTGTGAGACTTAATGGATGCTGTGTTGAAGCAGAAGAAAGGATTTTAATCTATGAATACATGCCCAATAGAAGCTTGGACCACTTCATATTTGGTTTGATATTCTCTAGACTTCACATCCATGCTTATTTTATCACTTTCATTGAAACTTTTTTCTTTCCTTTTTTCCTTTTTTTTTTTTTTTTTTTTTTTTACATGCAGAATAACTAATAAGTTCAGTAAAATTTACGGTGTTTGTCCTGAAACTGAAGCTTTAGATTAGAGCATTGACAATCATTAATACAAAAAACTAGGCATTCTTTACATTTAAATCACTATGAAATGATTGAAATCATCCAAATTTACTGCACCCATCACTGGCAACACACGATTAATAGAAAAGCTTACAATTCTGATGTATTTGCAGATGAAACGAACAATTCTACATTGGATTGGACAAAGCGTTTTGATGTAATTAAGGGGATTGCTCGAGGTCTGCTTTATCTTCATGAAGACTCTAGATTGAGAATAGTCCATCGAGATCTTAAGGCAAGCAATGTATTACTTGATTCTGAGATGAACCCCAAAATTTCAGATTTTGGCTTGGCTAGAAGTTTTGATGGGAATGAACACGAGGCAATGACTGTCAGGGTAGTCGGAACATAGTAATTTTCCTACATCACTTTACACTCCTTGACTTCTTGTATCTTATCCTTATGTTGATGACTAATTACATACTTTGTATGTTATTTTGTGACAGCGGTTATATGCCTCCTGAATACACGATTGGTGGGGTATTTTCAGTAAAATCTGACGTCTACAGCTTTGGAGTATTGGTACTGGAGATTATTTCTGGCAAGAAAAATAGAGGGTTCAAACATTCAGATCACCAACACAACCTTCTTGGACATGTAAGATCAGTCGTACCTTTCTCTGGTTGCAACTTTTCAACTCTTTGTTTTCTAATTTCAGACTGTATCTTATGAACCATATCTTCTTTCAAGCATGCAACAACTTTAACAACCTTTTTAGGATTGAGACAGGAATGTAGAATTTGTGCAAGTTATTATCTTTGATAAATCATATTTTACAGGCAATTATCGAAACATTCTTATGGTTAAAGTTTGGTTAGTAAGTTGGTTAAAGTCTTAGGGTGATACCAAAGGGAGAAAATTACGTCTACATCATTTATCCTCCATATAAGTTCATGATATATTTTCGAAGATCTTTTCAAAGAAGTTTACTCATTTCAGCTATAATCAGTGCTGCACTTTCCCTTAAAACAATTCGATCTATTGAGTTCTATCTCAACTAAAATTTGGTCTCCTTAAATGTGGTAGACCAAGTAGAACAATGTTGCTTTTTAACTGATCTAAAATACTTTTCACTTAAATAAACTAATTGCTGAAACATATTTGAGTAAGTTGAACAGACCAACTAACTTGATTTTGTCTATGTTATGTAGACATGGATGCTTTTCAGAGACAAGAAGACTTTGGACATTGTAGAACCATCAATTCGGAACCCAAACTACGAATACGAAATGCATCGATCGATACACTTAGGCTTGCTGTGCGTTCAACAGAATCCAGAAGAAAGGCCTAGTATGTCTTTCGTTACCGCCATGTTAAGTGGAGATAGCCAATTGCCAGAACCTAAAGAACCTGGCTTTTATTTTCAAAGGAATATGCCACATAATTCTGTTTCAAGCAACGCCCATTCAAGTTCAAATAATGAAATTACTATGACATTGATATCTGGAAGGTAGATTAATATATTTATATACTTACTATGTTACATGGTCTCCGGAACGGGTGTCGGATACAGACACATGTTCAATTGTCCGATCCGGCAAGTTCCAAAATTTTAGGACATGGGGACTCTGTTCGATATTTGGACACGGGTACGGGGACATGTCAATACGTCACTTAAATTTATATAAATGAATTATACGTCTACCCCTATTTTTTTATTTTAATTCTTTCCTCGATAAATTCTCCTAATAAATGACAATCTTCTTATCTCCATCTTCTTTATATTAATAGCGGTTTTCGAACAAGATATATTTTTCTTTCATGTTTCTTCTCTTTTTCCTCTCCTCACTTAATGGAAGTGTCTGAGTGCACATTGAAGGATCGGACGCGTGTCATGTGTCCGTGTCCATGAAGTGTCGTGTCGGCACGGACATATCGTGATATTAGCCGTGTCCGATTAACATAGTATAATTATATGATGATCATATTGTTAAACTGGGATAACTCTGCTAAATTCTTTGGCTTATAAATTATTATCTAAGCTTCAAGAATTTTAATCATGTATTTGTCAAAAAAAAAAAGAATTTTAATCATGTATAATGTTGTGAGTTGTGACTAACTACAGCCATTACAGATCTACGGTTGATTGCTCAAGAGATAGGACTGGATTTCAATTGATCTGCCTAAAAAAATATTGTCAAAAAAGATTACTTTCAAGCTTCATTACTTTATTCTTCATATGACATTTGACTAGGTCTCAAATTAAGCAAAAATGATTCATGTACTGGCCGCGATTGACACTTCTAGCTAAGTTAGAGTAACATCGATCTTAATATATGTTGCACGGATACCGACACGGACACGGACACGGACACGATACGGACACGGGAAAACGGCAATCCTGAAATAGGGGACACGGGTACGGCATATAACAAGGCATATAATATATCAAAAAAACGAGAATTTGACAACCTATTCAATAAAACACTAAATAATTAGCCTCAAAACACACAATTTTGTTAAAACAAGTAAATAAACAAAGTGTACGAACGTAGTCTCATACATATCAAGAAACCATCAAACCAAATACATGTTTTAATAATAGTTTTACAAATCATAAATAAAATAAACAAAAGTACTAATAGTTTCATTCTTCACCATCACCAAGTACATCATCAAAAATCATATTCTCCATCTCGGGTTCATCAAGTGAGAGCTCGGCCATCTCTAGAATACCAACCTCTCCTATTAGTACTTTTTCCCACCATATTTCATCCAAAATCTTTTCCCTTACATGTGAGGCTTGCCCGCGTCGATCATCCTTGTATAAGGACCAATTCTCACTAATAACCATTGATTGAAGTGATGTTTTAAGGAGTTTCAACCTTTTAAGCATGCACACAATTGAAGCAAAACGAGTGTCGGCAATGCAAAGTAGTTTTAATGGCGAAAACTTATTGAACATTGAAAGCCTCATCGAATGATTCATTATGTAATTTTTAATGAACAAGGCATCTGCATGAACTTCCGTTATCCAATGACATTCATCATATACTTCAACATTATTCAACACATTCTTAGCTGCACAGATGATTTTCATTGCAAGATTAAGTGTATGAACAACACATGGTGTCCAATATATATGAGGATACCTACCCTCAACCAATTCCCCTGCAGCCTTACAATTACTTGCATTATCTGTGATTATTTGAACAACATTTTGATCTCCAATTTCATCAATCACCTCACTTAGTAAGGTAGCAATGAAATCTTTGTCCTTAATCTCACCCGAGCAATCAATAACTTTCATAAACATAGGACCCGTTTCAGAAGCAATCATAATGTTAATCAAAGGCCTTCTTTGTGGATCACTCCACCCATCACTAACAATGCTAACACCTTTTGTTTTCCATGTGGCTTTCATAGGTTGTAATAACCTATCCACATTTTCTGTCTCTTTACAAAGCAAAGTTGTTCTAAGTTTGTTGTATCCGGGAGGCTTATAACCAGAGAGATTAGAATTGGCAGCCATTGTATATGAACTAACATAGTAAGGGTTTCTAGCAAGATTAAAAGGCAACCCCCCTGTGTAAAACATTCTAGCAATTTCAGAATCCAAGTGGTCACGAGATTTCACATTAAAAGCATCGGAAATTGTATTTTTTGATTTCCTCTTCTTTACATTATCAAATGAACCTAGTCTCATTGATGTAGCTTCAGTTGATGTGTGAGAAGATATGGGTTCATTTGAAAAAGGTGGAACTTTTGGTAACAAAGATTTTTTATAATCCTCGGATTCACGATGAAGCGATCTTAGTTTAGCAAGGTCATCAATTTTCACTTTATTACAAGTTTGAATCCCTTTCCCTTGTTCACCTAGCAAATGAGCTTTCACTCTAGTGTATGAACCATTTTTAACTTCGCCGCAAAAGTTACATTTCCAATTATAATTTCCTCCACCACCCGATATTTTATCACCCTTAACAACAAACTTCCACAAAGGGTAGAGGTCTTTCATTGACTCAGATGAATTACTACTACCACTGACATTGCATGAAGCAGAGGAACTAGAAGACATTCCTGACAATTTCAGCAACACAACAACACATTTCAGCAAGACAACACAGCAAAGTTAGCAACACAACAATACAATTTCAGCAACCAGCAAGTCAGCAATACAATTTCAGCAACCAGCAAGTCAGCAACTCAGCAATACAATTTCAGCAACCAGCAAGTTAGCGAGTCAACAATACAATACAATTTCAGCAACCAGGGCACAATACAATTTGACAGCTGAACCCATCTCACAATTAACATCACAATTAACAATTAACATCACATTTAACAATTAACAATTGCGAATTACAGTGATACTGCCTCCACGGCTCCACCTCACAATTAACATCAGCATTCAGCAATTGAATTTCAGAAAAGAAAGTACAGAAGACAGAAGTCACATAACCCTTACCTGGTGGTGGACTGGTGGCTGGCGAGTGGCGACGGACGGTACTGGGTGGTGGACTAGTGGCTGAGGACGAACAACGACAGCCTGAAACCTAGGTTGAGCGAGTTAGCGACTGAATTAATTGAATTTAAAAAAAACAAAGTACAGAAGCCAGTCAAGCCACGGCCTGAAACCTAGGTTGAGCGAGTTACCTGGTGGTGGTCTGGTGGACTAGTGGCTGGCGACACTGGGGTGGTGGCTGAGGACGAACAACGAGCGGCGAGTGAAGTCTGTGTCTCTGTGAGAGTAGGTTGTAGGCGACGAAGTGACGGTGAACTGAGTGACGGTCTGGACCAGCAGCAGCAGGTGATGCGACGGCAGTTATCGGCGCGACGGTGAGTGGCTGACGGTCTGGGACTCAGGGAGCTTGAGTAAGGCAGTAGGTTTGTGAATTGTGAATGGAGGAATTGAGAATGTGAGAGAGTCAGAGAGAATGGAGGAAGTTGGGCTTGTAAAGCCGTAATTGCGTGTCCATCACAAAACGGACCGTGTCTGGGTGAGACACGGCCCGTGTCCGTACAGAAGAAATTCAAAAAAAAAAACGGACACGGATTTTCGCGTGTCCAAGACGTATCCCCCCGTGTCCCACGCGTGTCCGTGTCCGACACGCGTGTCGACTCGGACACGCCACTTGGCAGGCGTGTCCGTGCATCATAGATCTTAATCTTATTTGACGGTGTACAAAGAGCTCATCACACTACCAAATCAAATTAGATCAGGTTAGATCAGATTATGTGAATTGAACATAAGTAATAGTAAAATGTAAATAGGTGTTTGTCAAATCCGAAGTAGCAAGAATAGTTGAAATTGTAATGTAACACAGAATAGAATCACAAGAAAGGAGGAAGAAATTAAGGATGGACCATGGAGGTGGAAGATGATGAAGATTTTTTTTTTTTTTTTTTTTTTCAAATGTTAACGAAATTTATAATCTTGTCATCAAGATATCTTGAAGTTTAACTGGGGCTCCCTCTTCGATAAACAAAGTATAACAAAACTTAATAAATCAATAAAAATGATTATTCTATATATAATGAAAAACTAGTGTATGACTTGGATTTGCTCTAAGTAATATTTTGAATAATTTCTTTTTTATGTTAGATAATTTAAAAGACCTTATATTAATTTACATTTTTTTTAAAGGCTTACTAATTTTTTTTTAATTGTGATTAAATTAGAATGCAATGACTAACAATAACTTTTTTTTTTTATTACTCTAACACTTATAAGTATTTAAATATAAATGTGGATTAAGGGTCTATTCACATTTACTGAACTAAGTTGAACTGAACCGAACTACACTGATTGGAGCTAAACTGATTGGAGCTGAACTGAACTGAACAAAGCTGAAATGAATATTTTATGAGAGAGGGAAATTAGGAGCTGAACTGAACTGTACTGATTGGAGCTGAACTGAACTGAACTGAACTGATTGAAGCTGAACTGAAATTAAGTAAATGTGAACAGGCCTTAAGGCCCTATTTTCTTCAGCTTAATTTCAATTAAGTTATTCAATTCAGTTCCTATTTTCCTTCTCTCATAAACAGTGCAGTTCAGCTCAGTTTTAATGTTTAAATCTCGACACCAGTGTAAAAAGAATACAAGTGGCACATAGATAATTTTAAAACAAGTTATTTACAAGTTTGCCATTGTTTATGGAGGAGATAAACTTGTAACCCAAAATTACAATACGGAAATTTTGTGTAGAACTACCCTAAAGATAGGGTCATTTGTGAACAACTACCTTTTTTTTTTTTTTAGAACTACCCACAAATTTGAAAACATTTGGGTAGCACTACCTATTAACATTTTTCGTCCAATTAAGACGTTATCGGAGCGCACTTTTTTCACTTTTCCAACCCAATTAACTCTCCCAATTTATAAAGGTTTTAATTTACCTTAATTAACCTAATTAAGGTTTTAATTAGAATTCATTTTAGGGTTCATGAGTTTAGTATTATTTGGGGATTTTGATTTCTAATGTTTGGGGTTTAATTGAATTGGGGTTTTTTTTGGTTATTTTAGTATTAATTGGCCATTGTAATTGAAAAAAGTGAAAAATTGGGCCAAAAAACGTTTTAATTGGATGAAAAATGTTAGTGGGTAGTGCTACCCAAATTTTTCCAAACTTGCCGGTAGATCTAAACAAATAAAAAAAAATGGGCAGTTGTTCACAAATGACCCTTTCAGTTCTACACAAAATTTCATTACAATACACTACTGTGGCAAAAAATACTTTTAGTTTTTTACAATTTTTTATTCTTCCACCAACCCCACCACCTCCACATTTTATTACTTTCTCCAATTTCTCCTAAAACTGCACGCATGGAAAAATGGAACAAGTATTTAAAAACGGAGGGAGTACTCCATACATGATACCCCTTCTCTCCTTGCACATGTCATGTCGAGCAAGCATTGAAATTTTACATTTCATTTTTTTTTGAAATCCGGAGACTTTTTTTTAAGGCAAACGGGAAAATTTATTAAATCAAATCAAGTTCCGCCAAAGATTGAAAACTTTGGGGGAACAATTCATACAAACACGTTCAGAATTAATCTCAGACTCCCATCTAGCAACTAAATGGGCAACGGTATTTCCCACACACCTTACATGACAACACTTAAAAGAAGAAAACACCACACTAATACGCCTAATATCTTCATCGAAAGTAAAAATAGGAGCAGCTCCTTGTTGATTCTCAGCAACAGCACGAACGACATTCAAAGCATCACACTCAAGAACTACATAAGCATAGCCCAACCTGCTGGCAACTTCCACCCCGTATCTCGCTGCAGCCGCTTCAGCATAGTCTGATTGCCATCTACACCCCGTCTTTTGCACAGCCACGCATAACAAAGCCCCATTCTCATCCCTGATAACCACACCAAGACTCACCCCCGCATTACCAGGCACATAAGCATCCACATTAACCTTCACAAACTGTTGCTCAGGTGGTTTCCATGCTGTATTTGAAGGAGCAGCAGACCCTGCCACACACACACGACCACCAACCTTCACATTATACACATCATAATCCTCACAGAGCTTAACAAAACCCATGGCCACCTGAACACCATTAACATCATTATCTCCATCGAAAATAACCTTGTTGCGGCAATGCCATGAAGCCCAGGCTAAACACATAATAACACGAAGCTGAGGTTTCTCGACCTTGCTCACCAACCAGCAAAACAGATCTGCAAAAGACTCGTGGGGGGCTTCAGCAATTAGAGCACCGAACTCACTATAATTCCAAATATTCAGGGCATGCTTGCAGTAGAAAAGATAATGGATTATGGTTTCTCTTTCAGCCCCACAGATGGTACACACACTTGAGTTGCGAATCTGACGTCTATACAAAACATCCAAAGTACCCAACGATCCTTTGCAGGCACGCCACACAAAATGGTGCAGCTTTGGGGGTCCTCCTAAACTCCAAACCATTTTCCAGACATCCCTTTCCCCATCACCACAATAAAGCTCCCACGTTCTCATATGCCCCAATCTTCCTTGCCAATAAGTTGAGCGCACACTATAGATACCGGAAACTAATAAAGCTTAATTAGGCTTTCCAAATGGACAAAATTTTACATTTCATTATTTACGTTTTTTATTTCCTTAAGCCTTTCAGTGTGTAGAATCAAGAATGCTAATCAATTAAAAATCTTGTTAATACGGAGTACCACCAAAAGTTCCACCACAATTCCACAAGTATCTGAAATTACTGCAAACCCTCCAAAATGTCACCAAAGTTCTGTATCATCACAAAAGTTCAAAGTTCTACAGCACCTTTTTTATGTACCACAAAAACGCGAAATCAACTATGAGTCTCTTTTCATTCAATAATTGAAATAGACAATAGAGAAGGCAAAGGTATTGACAAAGTTCAGATGTAAAACTACCCATAGGGCTCCAATATTTTATATTAGCATTATCAGTCGACAAAATTGCACATGTGAATTTCAACCATGTGCTTGTTCAGTACATGACTGAACCGACTCTAGTGAGCTTCGTCCTTAAAATAGAGGTAAAATCGTATATACATGGGTGCATCTAATAATCTATCTATGTCATATTTACATTCCATCAGATTCTTACACAACAATACAACATAATATCAATGTTACATATGCTTATAAGATGCCAAAAAAATGAGAAAAGTTTATGGTTTTCTCTTCTCAAGTACTGAATACTTTATCAATGACTTCTTTCAGGTTCTTGCATCCCACTACCTGTAACCCTTCAAAGCTGAGAGCTGCTATGGCTTTTTCAGCCGACTTTGGAACAATGCATGTTTTATATCCAAGTTTAGCCAAAGTATTAACCCTTTTTTAAATTCTCGAAACCTGCAAAGAAGTTTTCGGTCAAAATATAGACTAACATAACATTCTAAGTTAAAAAGGGGGTGTGAATAAACAACAGACAATTTATGGAGCATTATATACAGGCTTAGAAAAATTAGTGGTCAATTGGTCATTGAGAAATAGATTATGTGAGATTATGTCACTTCCTCAATAGGGCAAGCATTTTTAATAATTGTTGGAAATTTACTTAAGTTGCATATTTATATTGGCAAAAAAATAATTTGGCAAGAGCCTCATACTTACCATTCAGAGTTCACCACCAAGGCCAATTTCTCCAATAAATGCTACATTATTTGGTAGAGGGAAATCCAGAAGACTGAAGAAGGCAAATGTAGATATGTTACTTCGAATTTGATTACAAGAAAAGGATAGCTATAGTTTTTTGAGCAATATACACTTTACAGAACTCACGAGTAAGGCATATATCACCAACCAAAAACCAAGACTCCTCACCAAGATGACAAGAAATAAAAAAAGACTCTAGAAAGAATATGAAAAGGCTGGACAACACAAGTCTCTAAAAGTGTAGTGGAGAGCCAAGAGAAATGGTTGGATAAGAGCTTAGAATCAGGTATCAGTACACTACTGCGGTCATACCAAACCTAGTAACATAATTTTCTCTCTAAGGCCCTGTTTGACTCACCTTAATTTTGCTGAACTGAAATTATTTTTACTGAACTGGACTTATTTTTACTGAACTGAACTTAATTTTACTGAACTAAAATTATTTTTACTGAACTGAAATTATTTTTACTAAATTGAAATTATTTTTACTGATTTTCTATTATAATTTTTCTTTAAGAAAACTGAATTTTACTGAACTGAACTTATTTTTACTGAATTGAAATTATTTTTACTGAACTGAAATTAATTTTACTGAACTGAACTTATTTTTACTGAACTGAAATTATTTTTACTTAATATTATTTTTTTAAGGTGAAGAAAACAGGGCCTAAATGCCAGAAAATTTGGTGAGACAAATGAGCCAACAAAAAAAGAAAACATGCCTGCTGCAAATTGCCGCTGCCACAGCAAGATCTCCTGCAGTTTCAGTGAGAGATACTCCACTAACAACATTAAGAAAAACACTCTACAAAAAAGAAGTTACATTAGCATATAGCACATACAGAGATGAAATTCTAACAGGTTACAATTACCATGAACTTACAACAGTTAAAAAAACAAAAATGAATTATAACAAAACTATATCCAGAGTACCAGACTGTAGCTTGGAAATGAGTTCCACAACCAGCACATAGTAAAATCAGTAATACATTAATCATCAGGTACATGAAGCTAATATATTAGCATCATGTATGCTCTTTAAAACGGAACAATGGCTTGTACAAATTTAGAAACAATTAAATTAGACATCATGTGCCCATTGTTCTGTATCCACTGTCACTGATGAGCAAGCATAAAACAGTTTTTTAACAGTATGAGTTAAAATGGGTTATTTATTTGACTAACACCCTGTTTTTGACTTTTCTCTGATCCTTGTTAGTCTAATGGTTTTCTAATCATACAATGGGATTGATACTATTTGTTAAAAAATATAAAACTTTTAACAAGTCTCTTCGGTAGTTCATGAGTCTTGTGTACATATAGTACGAGTCTTGTGTACATATAGTATGAGCATGGTGCTTCCGGAAATGCTTCTGACTTGAAGATCAGCTGCTCAACGGACGTATAGGCTTTTAGGCTACATTTCCTAATGGAGGAGAGGATCTAAGAAGTCCTACATTCCCTTGCAAGAATCCAGAAAACTAAAGACACATTGTAATCTTTTCAAATATACATATTGCTGATAACCTAGAGCTTTTTGGCATTTGGAGATGATCATAAAGGAAACGAAGGGAAACAGTGCTTTAGGTTGTTCAGTTTAATTTGTATTGAAATAGATTTTCTGAATATTCCTTTCCTACAGATTCCTACCTAATGAAAGAAAACTTTTCCTTTCTTTACCATCCATTCTACTCCATCAAAAAAGCAGATAGACAAATTCAAAGACGCTGCTGACAGTTGTTCAATGCATGGAACAAAATTCTCCATTGAACTAACCAATTGAAGAAGACCCTAATATTAAGTAATCAGTTAATATAGAACTTATACTCTTAAAAAAAGATGCTGAAGCCAATGAACAGTGATGTAGAACTATTTATCATGGCTCTACATTAAACCACTAGTACCAATGTTTGATACTCGACACTCTGATATGGATATGAACACTGGACATTTCCTGTATACAAATAAAAACATGCATAGTTTCCCTAATATAATCGAGTCTAATACCTGGGCATATACTCATGTCCAACATCACTAATTGATCAGATTAACATAAATGCAAATTGAAGTGGGCACAATATCTTTTCACAATATGCAATGAATTATGTTTTGGGACACTGCATGTTCTTGAAACATAATGCACCATTGACAAGATAATTATAAGATAATTTTTTATAATTATATAACAGGATATTATATTCTCCATTCTGATTGACATCATCTTAACAATATTATCCTGCAACCCACCATTCATCATCCAACTATATCATACGAAGTATAATTTATAATTGAGAATTTTATGGATGCAGTATGGCTCCTGACTGAGCTATGGTTGGTTGAAGATATATTTAGCCTTACCCCAACCTTATTTTTTTTGTAAAAAAAAGAGAGTGAACATGAAAAAGAATTTAAAAAGATGAAAGACTAAATATGAGACTAAGACACTTTAGAGCTACAGCATGAAGCACAAGGGTAGTAGTGAAGAGAATGATTACATAGTCTTGCATTTTCAGTCCCGCTTGCTTTTTAAGAACCTGTAAACAAACGATGAAAGCATAAATAGTTCATCCATTGCACTCAATAAAATGAAAACATTCAACTACCTTAATGTGTGGTGCTATCATCCTTCAAAAAAAATAAAAATAAAAAATAAAAAAATGTGTAGTGCTATCAACTTTCTACGCCATTATGTGTGAAACACTCAGTCTTCTACATAAATCCTACTTTTATCATGCCTGTCCCTAACCAAGTCACAATGAAATTCTTTGATAAAGTTTCTAAATAATCATCAAGTCATCAACTAATAGCTTTCTAAGTTAGCCAAACAAACTGATATTATCTTTGGTCAGATTAAGATACCTGGAAAGAAAAAAAAATACACATCTAAAAAACATTCAATTCCTATAATAAGTAGCACCAGCATAACATTGTGATCTGCCAACAAACTAGAAACAGTTGTTATTTATGCTTTACACCCTGTTTTTAAGAAGATAAAACAGAGTTCTTCCCTAAATTAATGCTTCAAAGCCCTTCACTGAAGCATTTTTCAACAACTATACAGTGAACTAAATTGTATAAATCCAACTGTGAAAGTAACGTATGTTAAACACTACCCTAGGGCCTAGGGGTACAGATTCCAATAATTTTCCAGTAGAAAGTCTTGAGGTTAATGATACCAGTCGAAAGCTTTTTAAGGAACTCATCGTGATATTTTCACGGAACATTCTGGAACCACTATAGCCAAACAAAATCCAGGATATTTAACACTTGATGGAAATATAGACCTGTGGTCCAACGTTTAATGAGGTACCCCTTGTCTTAATTTGACTGTCCAATTTTTTTTTTTATTGAATCTTTTCTTGATTTAATTTAATACATCGTTACCAACTGCCAAAGAAAACCAAGTAACAAACTAACACCATCAAGGTGATTATTGGATAAAACAAATACTTCCTCCGCTTAATTACTAGTTTGCTTGCCTTTTCACGGTTTTTAATGCACAACTTTGATTACCAATTCTTTAACTATGTATATTACTATATTAAGATTTGAGAGCTATAGTCAAAATTTCTAACCATTAATCAACATACCATAACAAATTCTTTAACAAGTTTGATTACTATATTACAAATAGATTTGAGAGCTATAGTCAAAATTTCCAAAGTTTGACACCTGAAAGGAAAATGTTGCAAATAAAAGGGGGTAGTTATTCTAACCATTAATCAATGTACAATAACAAATAACTATATTTACTATCAAAGGAAAGATACGCAGGAACTAGACATGTATTGCAGC